AAATGATGTTACTTTTTTAATAGTTGAATTGATGATTCAATTAAAGCTAGACCACCATGAAAAACCTGGAAGCACTGGACGGCCAGTTCGTTCTAGTATGGGATTACTCAGCAGTGCGCATCCACGATCCCACTCGTGCGATTCGAACCCAGGACCTATCGGTCACACATGCGAACGCTTAACCTCTAAACCACTGAGCCGGCATCCAGTGGTGTTAATCTCTAACTTCAACCAAATCACGAAATTGCACCACCATCCACCATTATTTTTAGTCAGTAACTATTTCTACAACAGACACGGTTGAACTCCACTGGCCACGGCTTGTAACGTACACAAAATATTAAGTGATATCAATTTATATGTTGTCATATGCGATATACTGTTTTAATTTTAATTAAACTAACAGTGTTATAATAATTTCTTTATTGAATTGAATACTTCTCACAAACATGTTTAATTCATAATTCATTCTCAATATTATTATTCATTTTCAGCATGAATAAACTAATATTCAACTTGTCAATTATGCATTAAAATATACTATACTAAACTGGTTACAAATATATTGTATAAGGTATATAATTAACAATATAATCTTTATAATGATGATAAAAAGAATACGAAAAGATGCAAAGTGTGTAAGATTTTATTGACCCTTCATGTTTTATTGTCATAGAGTATTTACAAATATTATAATGCTTGCCAATCAAAATTTAAAGCTAAAATAAAATTAAGAATTAATGGAAATTTTAGATAAATTAGATTATCACTATTGATTTTAGAATAGCTAGCACAAATGTCTGTAAACGTAATATAGATATAACAGGCAGACACTGATATGTAGATTCTGTATTGATTGCAAAGAGATAAGTAGAAATCAATCATTATCATTCTAAATTTTGATTTTATTGTTAAAGTTATCCTACGGAATATGTTCAGCACACCTATTATGATAAACGAACATCCAGGTGGAGAAAACTAATTTATTTATAATGCTTGTGACTTAATGTAATATTGAGGCGATCCGCACAGGATGCACATATGCCAATAAAAGACTGATAAATTACAGTCTTAAATATCAATAGGAAGATTTAAATAAACAATACGCAGTAATTTAGCAAAATGTGAAAATCATACATCAAGTACATCATTTGCACATCTTCTTTGAATTGTCTCATACAAGCGTCATCGTTCCCTCATTCTTGTTGTTATCTTGAATGCTTGTAGTTTTCTACTTTCTCTTCATTCCTGTCTTCTAAACTTTCTGGTCGCAGATGTTCCACTTCTGACTAGTGTTACATACTACTTATATTTACAAACATAAGTAGCATACACTACACGACATTGAACAAAGTTAATCTTTTTCAAAATTATTCCACAAGCTTTAAACCAATTCGTTCTGGTGAATTTGTTTGTGATTACCTGTCTTTATAAAACCTGTGATTATCATATGACTTTTCATTCTTATCGACTACTTATTAATCTAACTACGTAATTAATTGACTTTATATTTTATAGACTGGATGTCTGTTGATAAGTATATTAACTACAAATCAATCCGAATGTTATGCTTCCAATATTTTGCTAGTTTTCAAATGAAAATATAATGTAACTACACAGTTAAATTTAGTGTAGTTGTAAAATTCCTACTGACAATTATTAGATCAATTAACAAATTGAAATAATACAATTTCATTATGTCTCCCTCAATTGTTTTTTTTTCTTTTTAACATCGAGCAAACTTATCATACCACGTGCTTTGTGTCCATATACTCGAAAAGATAATAAAACTAAGATTACGACTTTCGGGTTTAGTTAAAATTGCTGTTAGTATATTGAAGAAAAAACTATATATAACGCCTACATATCCAAGTAAATAGTTCAAAGCATATGGAAACGATGTTTTATCTTGTCCCATGTTTGATTTAGATCCACAAACTCGCAAAAAACCATTGATAAAGAAACACATACAGTATATTGAAATTTCGTTGTATTAAGAGTTATTCACATTGTGACTAATTATAGATCAATGCGTCATTTACAACATAAAAAGCACCAGCAAACTCTTGGTTAGCTTCTAGTCTTATAAAGTACATCGATATATTGGTGGTTATGCTCATGACTTTTAAACACAATGATTCAAATCCAGTCCTCGTTCTACAGTTATATAAAATTACTATTTCTGATTCATAAAAAAATGTATATCACAAATTTATGGATATGACTGAGTACTTAGTTTCTGAATTACATCATATTACATTTTTTATTATTAACGACCTTAAAAGTTTTACGGTCAAAATTGAAGTTTTCATATCTTGCAGATACAGCGTTATCGTTAAATTAGTAAAATAAAGAGTATAATCAGAGTTCATTGAACTTCAATAAATTAAGATTAAATTTATATTCTATGTACCTGTTGAAACGTGTTACAGAAATATAGAAAGCTTCATAAATGAACTATACAATTTACATAAAGTTTATCACTTATGCTATATTCACTTGGTATTGTTTTACTTGAATCTTCCCATTGATGTTTTAAGACTGAAATTGATCATTCTCTTATTGGCATATGTGCATACTGTGCGTATGCCTCGATATTGCCTTAATTTACAAGCATTATAAGCAAAGATGGATAGTGGCTAGCAGTGGAATCCAGGACGCGCGTTTCGTCCTGTTTGGGACTCGTCAGCTGAATGTATCTGCATCTCAGAGTTGATGTTCACTCTGGGACTATATGTTTACACTTGATATGATCATAAAATGTTACATACTTAAAAAACAAACGATAAACTAATTTACTTAAAGCAAAATATAACAATACTTACATTTGTTTCATCTTAACTTATCTATATAACTAAACTTCTAGTGAGTAATCATAGCGGAACAATAGATTTTACACTCTTTTTCAATTGGTATTTTGTTTTAGTCTCCTTAACCTTGTTCAATTTTCAAGATCTTCTGTATTAACCACTTCATGTAAAAACATGCTCATGATTAAAATAATAAACACAGATGAAACTATAGTCTCCTATTGTTTTGCGGTTTTGTGATGTATGTGAGATTCCATATTTCTTAGCTCTAGAAAATAGTACAGCCTTTGGATTTTTTATTAAAAATATAAATGATCGAGACAGTAAGCTAAGTAATTAGTTTCTAACTACTTATTAAGAAGATTTACTTTATTCATATGCATACTTAAATCAAATTGGTTTCTTTCTTTTACAAGTATAAGCTTACAAGATTCGTACTTTTACATAGAATATATGTCGTTGAAATAGGATATGTCTGTAAATTTCAGTACATCCGTTCTTAAGTGTTCATTATGTGTGATATCAAGCATACCCCGGCATTTTCCATTCATGTAGCGAGTGAGTGCTGAATATGAAAATAATTTTCACCGAAAATTCCATTTCCGGCTCTAACTTTTACTTTATTCGTATATTTGCATCCTACAAATTAGAACATGCTATAGTGATGTATTCAAAGAAGACATATATGATAGCTTTATATGACTAAAATCCAATTCTCAATAATGATAAGTACTCACTCACTAAATAAACATAAAATTACCCGAAAATGCTAGTTATTTTGCTTTCGCTAAACATTTAAAAAATGGTTATTATCATACATGTTAGAATAGGTAAATATTTTTTTAATGTAGGTGTTTGTAGATACTTCATCATTCGAAAGTAAGTTTCCCTAAAAACTGATATCAGTTGGAGATCTAGTAAAATCTAAACAATAATAAAAAATCATTTTATCTTCGTTTAAAACTCCAGTTGATCATATTCATTACTGTAAATAGAATCAAACTTATAATTTCAGTTAATCAGTTGACAATGAAAATGTATTTAATTAATTTCACTATATGAAATCATATGATTATTACTTTTTAGACTATAGAAAAACAATGTTCATCATAAATTTATGCACGTCTAAGATATAATGAATGTTGACAATATTACATTTGTATGAATAATACCGTTATAAGCAATCTATAATTATTTAAATCCAAACAACTGACTGAAGATTAATTAGTACTAATTACTAATATGCTAATATTACTAATATGCTGAGGAGTCCCACAATGGGACGAAACGACCTTCCAGTGCTTCCAGGTTTTCCATCGTAGTCTATCTTCATTTGACTCATGATCTCAACTATTAATATTACCAATTTGTCGACATTTTAAATCCAACTAATTTACGAGAGGTACTTTTAACGATTAAGTTAAACAAATAATGTTCACATATCAATGAATTAATTCACATTAAATATAACGGTGTGTTTTATTGTCAACTCATTAGATAATTCGGCTAAAACGTTTTCTTACTTCCAGTTGTATGGATGATACCATATATTTTTCATTAATTAAAACTGTCAAACTATAATTCATGGTATGAAAACCTTAAACAAAATCAAAAAAATCTAACGACAGTTTTATTGGATTCAACTGATTTGTTTGAGGATATTATGTCTACCCTACTGGGTATCATGAATAGATATTAGTGGATAATCTTCAAGAAAATTCCTAAAGTTTCATATATCAATCACCCTGACAACTGTTATTAGAGAAATCCCAACAATGTATGGATTTTAAAAGGCAACATGAAGCGCTAACTACATTTTATTAATGAATAGCACAAATCACTAAGCCGCAAGCCTAACAAGAGATTTTGAGCAAAAATACTGATGCGAGCGGGCATATATATATATATATATATATATATATATATATATATATATATATATATATATATATATAAAGCCCTCACGTTCACACAGACATGATAGTAAAACCATGATATACAAATTGCTACTGATGGAATAACACTGTTAAATAAGTGAATGAAGGGTTTGACAAAATTGAACTTAAAAGCGAGTGCAGGAGAGGTGTTATAGTATGTTGTAAAATTATTTATGGAATTTCTCATAAACCTATTTACTTGGAACGGACATAAATTATAGTAATGTTTTATTTATTTCGTTTCTTTATTCAGCTTGTTATTACGCCGTAACTAATACTTATTATCAGCATAAAGATATATGGATGTCTGCTGAAGTACCATGTGTAAAATGTAAATGTCAGCACGGAAGTGTACATTGTGTTGGTGAACCTCATCAATGTCCATCAGTATGTTTACCTGGTCAATATAGTCAACCTGCCGGTCCATGCTGTCATACTATATGTAAAGGAACAGGTACGTAGAACATATGACTTTAATTTTCACATAAATGAAAACTAATTTCATGCTTATTTAAAGGCCAATAAATAAAAGTTTTACGTATCAATGAACTAGAATATCATAATAGTTTTTAAATTATCCTAGTATGATCTTCTAAATCCGACAATTATATTTCTTTTGTATAAAAAAGCTGAAGCTCTATAGAAATAAAACCTAAATTCTTGCTAAAGTAAAGAAAATTCGTAATTTCGAATATTTCGGTTTCAATCCAGCTATCGAATAAATTTTCATTGAAGGCCACCCATCATATTTGTCCCGTTAAAGATCAGTTATCGTTATAATATTTAGTATATATGTGAATGTTATGAATTGACATTACTAAATCAAAGACACTTTATCAAAATGTATATGACCAAACACTTGAATCCGTTTAAATGTCATAACCATAACTGGTAGTGCAACTGTGAGGCATGAATCATATAATTACAAACAATAAATGTATCATCAATATATCTTCTGTAGAACGTTACATCTTCAACCGAAAAAAAATAGCATAAATTGAAGAGTGTCTTGCAAAAAATGAATATCCAAGAAACTTTATTATGAAGTACGGAAAAACAATTACAGAACGTTTTAAACAAACGACTGTTAACAGAAAGCTTGTCTTCACTAGGCTTGCATTCAAATTTGAAGAGATTTCAGGCAGGATCGATAAAAAGATTAAAGCAGCGCTAAAAACAAGCTTTCATGCAACTCATCTATTTTCCGCGTATACAACCAGATGTTCCTTAAATCAATCAAAAGTGGATCACTACCCTTCTGAGATCGTCGCCAAATGTATCTTTGAATTTACATGTATCTGTGGAGACAATTACATAGGAAAAACTGAAAGAGGGGCATCTACAAGATTTTAGAAACATATTACATGTAAGTGTTGTCTGAAAGGAAGTAAAACTATTAAATGCGACCACCGAACATTTAATGGATAGCGGACAAAACGTGGATGCCTCAAAAGTATTCACAAAAATTAACAGGCGACATACACCATTTTCACTCCGTTTCTCAGAGACCGCTGCTACCAAAAGCTTTTGACCTGACCTTTACATACAAAAAAGAAGTGTGGTAAACCTGGTAAAATAATCATATTATTTTAACTCTAGTCAGTTACATTGTTTCTTCATTATAACTTAAAGTAAGAAACCCACTGACATTTACCAAGAAGTTAAATTTAATGTTATGTCGAATCGGTGCTTTGATCATCACTCACTGATATTCACTCAAGAAGTTAACTTTAATGTTATGTTAAATTGGCGCTTTGATCATCACTTATTAACAACTTGTTTTTATTCATTATCTCTTTATTATCACTTACACTTCACCCCTTCTTCTCCTTTTATGATTTCATCTTCAACATATAAATACCCATCAATCTTAGCTAATTTGTTAAATATGTTGTTTCTCTTTCTTTCTTAAGTCGTTTGGTATGTAATACCGTTGAGAATGTCCAGAAAATTCTTCGAAAAAAGCCAAAAAACGCTCTGAAAATGCTGAGAAACATCTTATCAAGTCAGCATTCAATATAAGTTATGCCAGGAACATCTAGAAAGTGAAAAGTCACATGTCATGTTTCTGATTGAATGATAACCTATACTGCCACTATGTTTATTAGCGTTCCAGAATTTTCCGAAAACCCAAGCCCATCTAAAATACTATAGATTTTCTGTAGATAAACGAGCCTTGGAGTAAAAAGCGTTTCTTTCATATTTCTTGCCTTTTCTCTCGTGTTCAATTCTCTGTGTACATTTAGCCTGGGGGTTACTAGGAGAGCTTAGGAACCGAATCTAGCGTTCAACTAGAAGACTTATCAAATACCATTTTTACAATATTCCTATTATAAATGTGGGTCGTTTGCAGCTGATGACAAGCTTTGAATCTGGTGGATTTATTTTATTTTTCAATCATTGTTCTTGCTTGATTTATGGTCATCAAGGCTTCATGATGTTTGAAATTCCTGAAAAAAACTCTCTTATATCGATTAGTTTTGAATGCAACCATTAACTTGAGGGAATTAATACCTCAATTCACTCTATTTAACGTTAGCTGATCTGATGTAATCGACATGAAACTCTAGATCATCGTTCTATATGAAAATTGTTAAAAGAGCATAAAATCAGGAATCATAAACATTTCATTAGATTTACTTTTAGTTACCATATTTACGTTTGTCTCTTTAAAATAATATTTCACTTTCACTCTTCTGATCAAACAGTTCAATATTCACATAAATAAATTTATTCATCTGGCTTTATTTCATGAGAACAGTGTAAGAAATATTTTATCTTATATTTTTTTTATGTGGACGTGGAAGCGAAAACACGGGTAAGAGCAATCAATGTATTTTAGTACGAATTACAGAGTATCTTGGTCAAATACAAGAACCATACTTCATTTGCAGATTTCCATCACTTGTCTTTCACATTCTGTATGATTCCTCTGATTCGCGATTCCTTTCTAATTCCGTTTCTGTCTTCTTCGAGTTGATACTTATAGCCTTCTGTTGCCAAGTTTTTGGCTTCTAATCGGTGTTACATACTACTTATATCGACAGACATAAGTTGAATACACCACAGACGTACTCTCTTTTTATCATTTCTTATAGTGACAACAAAGATTGTTTAACAGTTTTAAGTACGAAATAATGAATTAGTTCTGTACTTTATAATCTTCAGATTCACATTATTATTGATAATAATAAAAACCTGCAACTATGGGCAACACCAATACATCCACTTGGTTTGTACATGTGCCATCAGAGATTGACCAAATAAAATCATAAAAATCAACAGTAGAAACATAAAAGCCTTCGTAAATCGATACTCTATAGCTTTTTACAATATTACATAAACAGTATAACATCTTAGACTTTAAAATAAACGTTGATTTATACAAGTGAAATCCAAGGGGAAAAAGTTAGCAAGTTAGAAGTACAAGAAAGTAAGAAGTCATCAATTAGTGGTTTTCTTGTTCTAACACAGTACTTTATTCTTTATCCTTTTTATATCCTAGTATCGAAAGATATTACTTTCGAATTCGCTAGTTGTTTAAAGATAGGTGTCGATACTTTGCATTCACATGGTGAAATGATTACACTTACTGGTATTTGTGTTGATCAAAAATGTCAATGCGTCAATGGCCGATGGAATTGTTTCGATTATTGTACACCATTATCAGAATTATCTTGCCCTTCAGATGAAATGATAATATGGGATCCTTTTTGTTGTCCTAGATGTCGAGGTAAGGAATAATTTGGTTGTAAAATTTATAAACTATATAGAAATATTTCGTATTTTATTGATGCAACTTCAATCTAGCCACAAATAAATATTTGAAGTCAGTGATTTTTTTCATATGATCGGCAAGTACTCTAATTCATCAAAATTTTGTTGGTAGCGCAATTCATAATTCAGTTTCACAATATCACATTTTGTAAGGATTAAAAAACGTGAGACCTTCAACAATTATCAGAAATCAAATATCTATCCTATAAAGATGCACAAATTATGCATCGAACTGAAGCTCACACTTCGTGGTATATTCTGTACATCACATTAAAGATAAGCAATATTCCTTGAAATGTTACAATGCATACGATAACTTACCTATCGTTAAAATTTTCTTTCGATAATAACCTTATCAGTATTATCATAAAATCTGTTCTTAATACTATGGGAGTGATTTTACGCTGTCGGAGGTAGCTGTTAAGAAAATATGAACATTTTTGCGTACTAGCTGACACTCACCAACAAGATGCTCCTCCAAATTTTGGGGAACTAACTCCTTCAGTGGAATTCGAACACGTGTCACACGACTAATTGCCAGTTTGCATTATGTTAACATTTTATAATTATTACCTTTCATGAAAACTAAAAAAACAATGTCGACTATTTCCAAGAATCTTATTAAGACTGTTAGAATAACATTTGTATCTTCTGTACAACGACAAGTACTAAGCAACACTGCTGACTTACGTTTAAGGTTTCATAGTTATAAGACTTGACATTAAATTAACCACTTATTTTCATCCAAATACTTATGAAAATCTCTGGTAACTCGTAAATAATGCAGGTCCTGTTATAAATTTATGTTTACCGGTGTTACACCTAAGCATCATCTAACCTCGAGAAAATTGACGACATGCAAAGAAAGAAACCGAAATTAGTATTGTGGTGTGTGCTACTGAATTCGACAGATATAAGCAGTATGTATTATCGAACGCAAGTGAATTGCCTGGCGGCAGAAGGTTAAAAAGATTAAAGAAAAGAGAACGAGAACAGAGAATGATTGGTGTGGAAACGAAGGAACAATCAAATCGGAGACGATTGATTGATATTTTGCAAATGGAAGTATTTACTGTATGGTCCTCATATTGTACTAAGCTGTTCTGTAATTTTATATTCAAATACACTCGATTGTCCCACTTGTGTTCTCGTTCACCACAGTAGGACATATTATGATAAATCATAGTTCATAAACATGGGAGAAAATAAGGAAGTAAGAAATGTAACTAGTACTAAAACTCATGATTTAAAATAAAATATAGAACAAATGTAAATATGCACATTACAGCAGACTTCACGACATATTACGTCAAGTCTACAACCTTTATTGACAAGTGTCTCAACGAACTCAATCTGTAAATCTGAACATCCTCACATGTGTCAGATCTGTGGCCAGTGACTTCAAAGATATGGTCCCAAGTCTTAGTTTCTGTATCCTGATTCACAACCCCAAAAATGTATATCCTGTGGGCAAGATTTTGCATTCATAAATCTCAAAAGTTAAACAAATTGTTGGTTTCACCTCCCTTCATATAGAATAACCAACTTTTTAGTGTTTGATATTTAGCATCCTATTTTCAGTATTTTGGCTTATGCTAATATAATAACATCAATGTGGTTACATATAAGTGAAAAAATATTTTATCAAATTCTTACAACGAATTATTCAATCATTAACATTTAAATTCCACTTGGCTTTCAACTCTTATACAATATGATGAGAATCGTTTACTGAAGTAATCATAAATACCCTTAGTTGTCAGTGTTGATTTTATTGAGTCATTTTCTTACTATCATGATTTGAGAATATCCTCTTAGTCTGATGACAATTTTAGTCATAAACTGACATGAATAGTAAACGAGAATTCGACATCTGCTTTGACTTAATCTAAGGCTTGTCAAGCCTCTTAACCCTTTTTAAAGCCCAACTTAGATCTATCATTTGTCATGGTGAATATAAAATCTTGAGATAATTATTATAAATTCAATGATCCATATTTTTGATTTCAAATATGAAAGTCTTGTGTTTAATCAAGTATGAAATTGTTGGCATGTACTAGTGAAAGAGAGAAAAAATACGAATTAAGACATAACATTTATTCAATACTCTTTAGTTTTCTCAAATTCTCCAAACGATATGAGTTTATGATGTAAACTAACTTAGAATTTTCTTTTCAATCTCTTCTTGATAAAGATCCTACTTTTATTTTCGTAATAATAAACTATGTTTTTACAGTAATTACAATTCATAGTAAAGTTTACATTTAGAAAAATCTAACAATTAAATAAAGAATGAATTATGTATACATTTTTTTCAGGTGATCAAACATGTTCAGTAAATATTGATATGAAAAATTGGTTATCCAATCCAAATGAAAAAACTATAGATACATTTAAAAGACTTGATTTGAATTCAACCGAATGGTCACAATCATTAAATAATCAACAAGAAAAATTATTATTTGAACAAATTACAAATATCAATAGTAAAGTGAATACAGAAATAATTACAATTCAACCTGGACAACAGATAGTATTGGAACAAGGACATTGTTTTTGTTTAAATGCAAGTATTTATTGCCCAAGGCCAGGTGAAATGATTTTGAAATATTATGTCGTTATCATTTTCTACATATGTGTACATATATAATAAAGTTGTATATTGTGAGGAAAATCAAGTTGGATATAGTGATTATTTTTTTAATATTTATTTGAACACATAAATATTGGTACAAAGGGGCACCGAAAACATATGTGCCACACAAATCTCATTTGATTTGTGTAAGCTGTGATACTGCCCGGGTGCCCAGCCTGAAGCAGGTGGTTTTCTTAGGGGGCCATACCCCGAGTCTTCAACCTAAAGGTGTGATCCACAAGGCAGTGAAGCAACGTAGGGCGATCTAATCCCATGGTAGCCGGTTTCCAATAATTGCTTCATTCGCCACTTTTTCCCTTGGGATCCTGGAGCCCATGTGCACTGCTGGTTTGAAATCAGGGTTTTTCAACTCCTCTAGGTGAACTCTCCGTGTCCAGTGCCGGACTTTCGCTTTTTGTCCTCTTAATTTTGTAAACAACACCCCCGCCTGGAGAAGGCAGTGAGTAGGACTTCTCTGGCAGTGGCTGTATGCACGTGGCCATGTGAGAGCATTTCGTGAGAGAGAGCGGACTCTCCCCATCCTCGGCCGTACCAGGGCATTTTGGAGGCGGATATAGTGCTGAATACTACTTATTATTAAGAATACAAGTAACCGATTAAATATTATTGACATTAGAAAGTATGAACTATTAGATTTATGGTGAATCTAGACCACAGAATTTGAGCTTATTAGGTCGGATCGTGAAATGAGTTAAAAATGTGAAGTTCTTATAAATTTTTAACTATAGAAAATAAAAAATTACCTAGTAACAACAGAATCCTAGTTGTACTTAGGTTAAATCATTTTTGAATGGTTTTTCAATGATGAATAAGTAATTGAGTAAGTAAGTACAACAACTACATTTATTTATGTGTAATAACTTATTTCCTGAAAAAGTAAATCATAATACTAAATGTAAAAAGATTTAGATAACATGTGGCTGTAACTTCATATTGTTTTGAAATAATTCCGTCACTTAATTTAAGTTTCAATCCAATCATCAGCTATTAATAATTTCATCTAATAAACCTTTAGAATAATCTTTCATAGAATATAGTAAGATTAAATGTCTTGATTCTGAAGTATATTGAAGTGAAAATAATAGAAAATTAAAATCTAAATAGAAAAACACCTTGGAAATTTGCAATTTAACTTTTTGTAAACATGATAAACAATTTAGTATGTAGTTTAAAAATCAAGGGATCAAATAATTTTTTGGAATAGTATGAGTGATAAAACTTGGGATAAGTTGATGTGAAAGTATCTGGTGATATTGATTTTAAGCTTTCCTATATATTGTACTTATAAGACAAACAATAATCCAGTAAAATACATTAACCGTATGGAGGGAATAAAATGTTAAGTACAGAAATGAACAAATGTTAAACTACTAAACTATTTATTCAGTGAGGACTGGAAATAAATTCCATAGATGATTGACCATTCATGTTTAGCTAGTTAAGTAGGTTACAACTAACGGAGTCAGTATTAATTTATTGAACTAAGTTGGAGAATTGTTTACCATTTTAGGATTTTATAATGTTAAAGCTATGTCAATGAATTATTTGGACATGATTAATTCGACTCTGAAATATAGGTACATTTAGATAAATAACCTGTCAATTCATTTGTTGTATGATAGATGCATTTGCTAAATAAAAACTTTATTTTTTAACTTATAAATTGCGAGGTGAAGTATAAATATGATTTGCCATAAAACTAATTATTGTAAGAAGAGAATGATGGAATTATTGTAGTTAACCCACAAAAATATAATTAATAAGGGCAAACTGTTTTAAACTATATTTTAATAATTACCTAATAAAAGCATTTCTTTTTTATGATTTCTGCACTCAACAAAAAGCATAGGTCGCCTAATCTGGCATGAGGATGATTGTTTTTATATGGATGGACAAGAAATTTCATATCATGCAGTTGGAACACGATGGATTCCAAGTTTTGATCATTGTACTGAATGTATATGTGAAATAAACCGAACATATCGTTGTAAACGACAATCATGTCAACAATTATTTCTCTGTCCACCTGAACAGATACCAATGGCTAGTGAAGATGAATGCTGCCCTTCATACTGCGCTCTACCCTCTCAAAAAAGTAAGTTATTTAAATAGTCAGTTTATAATTCATAAAAGCCAACTACATTTACGTCTAGTAAGTCACATCGATCATTCCTCTCTTATTTAAATATCAAACATATTTAACACGTAATCTTAAATCATGAACCGACCTCAGCTTAGATGTCAAGTCAATGGTGTAAAAGTAAAGCGCTCTATGGAAACTCTTATGGTCCTTGTTCGAGCACTGGCGAGGTCGAAGGTGTTAACTATTGGGCAATCCAATTCCATAAGCAGTTGGCTAGTGCTCCTTAGTGTCTAATAATTGTCCAAATAAATTAAGTTTGAGATGTAAAATCACAAGATTCAACAATCTCCACAGACCCTAGACGCAAATATGTAATGTTGACAGGTAAGACAACTCATTCCATAAAATACAACTCAAAGTTAGGACTTCGGGTCGACATATGATCATCATTCCATGAAGGTGATATTTTTGTCGAGATTTTTCAACTTTGATATTGGTTGTCATCTGCATTTACCCTCAGCTAGTCTGAGAAAAGGATAAGGGAGTGATCATGTCTAAACAGTATCCAATAAATCAAGAGGTAAATTAAATGTCAATATTCATAATCAGTACCCAATCGATCTCTGTGAATATTGCTAAGATTACTAGTTTTCGTAATACATTTCACTGTTTCTAGTGGTCTTTGACACACTAAACACTGATATTATTGATAAAAGCATAAAATAATGGACAGAAAATTACTTCAGATCTTAAATTTCATACCAATTTAGAATCATATCCCAGAAATCTTCACTTTCTTTAGTTAAATAGCTTTATTCACACATGTAGACAAGCTTGATGAAATCTAAAATGTATTCCACCATGTCACTACCTGCTCCATTAATTAACACCGACGGTAGCATAGGCTAAACTTTTCGTGATATTTTAAGTGGATATGTTTTAATGTTTCAATTACCATGGTTTCGAACAGGCCATCTTGGCCTCTTTTGTACGATCAAATCCGTATTTCATTTGTGTACTGCCAGGCCCATTCTGAGGGCTTGGTTACCACCAAGTTACTTTTTGTATTATAAACATGTGCCAGGTAGGAGCCAAACTTCGCAATAGAGGATCAAATCGTTATATTCTAATAATAGTTTTAAATTGACTATTTTGAATAGTGACTGGCGCCAAATCCAGGACGGCGTTCTGCCCTATTAAAGAAATATGGTTTGGAATTACCTGTATCCTAATATTTATATATCAACTGATTTAAATTCAGTATCCCTTACTTCAAGCGCCAAAGCAGTACTTACGACTACCACCATACTTTCGACGAGTATGATATATGGTGACAACTGAAAAGGTTTACTTAACGTCATTGTTGATATTGACTGGATTATTTAAGCTCCACTGTCACGTACTCAAAATCCAGATTTATTTATAAAACATTACATGCAAAGTATCTAAATTCTGTATCCACGATGCTACTCAACAGCAATCCCGACTGGACAGTGTGACTTAGTGAGGAGCGTTCATGTACACTAATTCACTAGGTCTTAATTTACTTGCCCAATGACTGCGTATCAGTATTTCCCAGAATTTACGGTGTAATTCTAACGATATTATACTATTGGCTACACTTTGTGATAGTTTGAATTCTTAGCCTTCAACCAGTAACTTCAAGGTTTGAGCCCCTAAGTGTTTAATTCGTTCTGTACAGTTGGATTCACTACCAAATAGCTAACTTTCTATCATTAATTTCTATCCATTCGTTAACATCGTTCAGATCGAGAAAAACCAAACAGTTTCAAGCAGGATATTCAAAAGAATGATGAGTTGAATACTGATTCCGTGAAGCAACAAAATAAAATGATCCAGATATTAATGAATGAAACTATTCCACAAAAGCCATCATCATCGTTAACACCACGTAACACTGGATGCTCATCACTGATAGACAATGAAAATATTATACAATATCCAGATGTCTTTCCTTTTGGATCTCGTCTTTTATTATTTCGTACATGTCGTAGTTTACTGTGTATATGTGCCAAGGACAATAGATGGGTCTGCACAGATCACTGCCCACCATGTGAACAATCTGTGGAATCTATTGAGAATTTAAGACATATATTACTCCCGCCAAGAGATAAATGCTGTGAACTATGTAAGTAGAATCATATTTTACACTTTATTATTAGTGTGTACAATAATACTAATGTGATAATTAATTGTATAGGGTTACACTACCGCGCTGAACCTTGAACCTAAAAGTTTAATAATTCGATTGTTCAATTATAAGCTGTCTGATGTTTAAGTGTCATTATCAAGGTTTGACTGCATAATTTCAAATAAACTGAGCATTGAGTAGATTGTTATTATTAAAACTAATACGTGATATCCCAACGGGTATGAAAATTTAATTTTTCTGACGTTTCGTGTTTCTGATGATGTAGAGGACTTTGAAATTAATCGATGAATTCCGCAAATAGACCACTGCATAACAGAAAGTTTGGTTCCCTGTAACACCTGGAAATAGGTCAAAGGGGTAACCCTTGAAGTGCAACAACTTCTTTCAGAGAAATAAATTGCTAGTATTGTAGTGAACGATAAAATACAAGTGGGACAATCGAGTGTATTTGAATACAAAATTACAGAATAGCTTAGTAAAATATGAGAACCATACAGTAAATACTTCCATTTGCAAAATATTAATCAATCGTCTCCGATTTGATTGTTCCTTCGTTTCCACACCAATCATTCTCTGTTCTCGTTCTCTTTTCTTTAATCTTTTTAACCTTCTGCCGCCAGGCAATTCACTTGCGTTTGATGATGGCACATACCACAGTATCACTTAGAATGAACGGAAATTTGACTTAGTTAAATACAAGGAAGTGGTGTTGTGATACACTCTGAACAATCCTCAACAATAATAAAATTATGGAAGGAGCTCAGATCAAAACATCACAACAATCCAGAAAATCAGTAACTTCACATTCGTATCGTGTCGAGTAAATCAACACTGATTATCGAGATGTTATGAATTAATGATTGAAGATCTTAGTAACATAACTGAAGATTGATGATAATGGGACTGACACCACAGACTTTGTAAGCCCTGAACATATTAATACTCCACATCTACCAGTTTAGCTTATATATACTTTCCTATTTACTTATTCATATCTTCTTCAGAACAGTTACAGTGATAATCAAAACCGATGCACCTATCACGTTGAAATCTTTTTTCCTGTACCATGTAACGTCACAGACAATTAAGAGCTATTTCAGAAATCTAAAACTGTTGAGAAGGCATACATGATTAACTATAAAACCAAACACATGACCATTAAGTTGTAAGAGGACCATCTTAAGCTTAGGAATTAAAAATAGGCAGCGATTGACATTGTACTACTAAATCGTAAGACATGGTGAAAAACCACCAAAAAGTAGTTAGTTCACATCTACTACCGATTATCTTATTTAATGTTTTAAATAATTATAACGTAATCTTCCCAGTATGAAATAGACAACTAGATAAAGTGCTCTTGTGTTTCTATCTTTTGAAAACAATTTGAAAAACTGCCAAGGATTACTCTCCGTCAAATACCGTGTTACTTTAAAGAAACTCAACTGTAGTTATCTGGAGATGCATAGTTACTGAGTACCATTTCATAGGAAATTATTGAAAAACGGACAGTTGTATGAATGATTTACCACGTGGCTCATGTCTGAATTCATTCCTAAAACCTTTAATAAATTCCTGTTGATGCAAATGATTGATATGTGTATGAGAAAGAGAGAAGTTAGCTAAGTCGACCAATTAACAAACGTTACACATCGGCAAACTGAAGCAGTCAACTATCTATAGAAGAGAACAGCAAATAAGAATTAGGCAAACTATGAATTAGTAATTGTATATACAATTATAAATTCCAATTAAATGCATATATAGTTTTAAAAAATAATGTCTCTCTTATTTCATTTAAACCACTGATAAACTGATGATATTGCAACAAGTAGATATGGATATATTTTGTGTATCCATCCAAAATTTCAATTCTCATTCTTCATTAGAAGGATTGTTGCACTAAAACAAAATAAATTATAATCAAAATAAAAAGTGTTTGCTTACTAATAATAATTCACTCAAAAATATACATTAATGATTCATCAGTTTAGTACATATTTGGATTTTGTATATGCAGGTGAATGTTATGCTTATTCACTTAAAATCAGAGAAAAATAAGCAAGTTTACTTATCACATAAATACACCCAAGAAATTAAGACTACTATGCCTTCAGCCATATTGTTACTGTATTTGTCAGTCAGTCAGTCATCTACAACGTAGGACCAGGCACATTATATACATTGATCCAAATTGCCACACTTCATTAGCACAACAAGATAAACACCGAGTTTACAAAAGTAGTTACTTCAATAGTAGTAATATATTTAAAAAAAGAGATTGCATATAAGGATATGATATAGGGAGAAGGAATTAGTTCGTAGAAAGAAAGGTATAAAACTATCTTAATCTCACGGTTTAAGGGGAGCCTTGTCACCCAGAGTTTCCAACTGTACTTTATTTGTACTTAATTCATGTAACTTCAGTAGGGGAAAAAGGACTAAGATTTATCAATATTCTATGAACATTTATAAAAATGAACTTTACAAGCTACATTATTATAAACAAATAATTTTGTATATGAACCATATTCTTATAAGGGACAAACAAGCAAATATCACGAGTATTCACATAAAAATTAATCAAACAAAAGATTATTTGAATAACAAATACAAAAAACAAGCATTACAAAATAATTTTACTACTATTTCATTTATCACGTCAAGATATATGTAATTGGCTTCGAACCACATTTTAAGTGAAAGGGTTAATATTACCCAATTGCCTAGACCGAAGCAGATGGAGCGGAGTTCGAATAAGCAACATAGGGACTGAAAACTAAGCGATTTAACTACTGAGTCACAGTATCCACTAGCAAACTATCTTCAGAATAATCCAGTCTAGCTTCTTTTGAAACAGTTGAAAGGGTAATATTTTTATGGAATAGTTAAATTAGGCAGTTTAGTCAAAATCACATAGAATGAGCCATTAAAATTTTAAAAAACTTGATGGTTGTTTCATTGCATTTTGAAATTTGAGTTATGAACAAATAATCAAATCTAGGGACTATAATTATCAGTAAAATACTCTTAAAGCACCAATTCAAATATGAGCTAAAACAACTTCACTGTATTAGACATGCAAAATCAATTTGACTGAACTTCCATGATATAAAAAAATATTGAAGGAAAAAATTTAACAGATATGAATTTCACACGTCTAATCAGAGTGAAATAGACGTTTATTTATTTCGAAAGTACTGATGAGAAGCATAACACTAATAGTAATAATAATAATAATAATAATAATAATAACAATAATAAACGAATGTAACTCATTTACAGAGTACAGATTTTTGTACTTGGATTTAAGTCACACTGTCTGTGTAACAGCTAGTTGATGATATTACCCGACCCTCAAGACCGAAATGAGTGAGGCTGACTTTGAATATGTGGCCTATTGATTGAAAGCCATTAAGTCACTGCTTTAGACCAATATTAAATTTATAAACAATCCATATTTAAGACGATTTTAGACTGATTTTGGAAATGTTTGCTTAAAAGTGATCAAGTTTAGATAATACGTATTTACTATTACTTTATTTACTTTCGCAACCACAAGAAAATTATTTAACAATCCTACTTTTTTTTAATTCCTTTAAATTTTTATTTAGGCAATGAAAAGACAAATACCATACACATAACTAAGCAACTAAGTCAGAATGAGTTGAAAAGTCAGGAAAAGATTTTTATTCAAGCAAATAATCAAACAAATCCTCACTATTTAAACAATGAACAAGCAAATATTTCTACAGAAATGAGACTTAAATTAACACTGAAAATGTATATTTTAATATTTAGCATAATATTAATTTGTATATTTGGATTACCAATTTCTATCTTAATTGGATGTTATTTAATGAAAACTCGGTATGATCATCGTCATCGCCATCAATATAAACGCAAAAGCGATTACCATCAGTATACTACGACTACTACTGCACCGAAAACAACAAGGTCAAGATATCGTCGCTATTACCAACGGTGTTATTCACGTGTTAAACCTTTTCTAGTAAAATCACTACATGATTATAATAAGGATCAATCGGAATTAGAAGCATCAATAAAATCACCTATTTCAGTATCAACGTCGTCATCATCGTCATCAGTGTCACCATCCTCTTCACCAGTTTTAATATTAAAAGAATCTTATAAAACAAATAATCGAGCGAATTATAACTTGACATCAATGCCATCCACAACAAAAATAACAAAAGTATCAGAAAATGAATGTAATTCCAAATCTATACATCATCGTTATCGTCAGCATCATCACCATTATATTCAACATTTGAAAGCAAACAAACGAGAGAACACTATCATCAACAGTGATGATATAAAGTTAATTCAACCGTCATCAACAATATCTAACACTAAATTAAATGAACTTGTTAATTCAAATGATCATCATCATAATACTGTTAATTATGAAAATCAAAATAGTAAAAGTTATAGTCCTATTAAAAAATTTAATGATTATATATTTCCAACAATGAATACAACTGTAGCAAAAATTACTAATTCACCTATGATTATTAGATTGAAATCATTGAATGAAACAAATTATACATTGAAAAAACAACAAAATCAGTCAACTTTAATTAAATCACTTTCTATAAATGATGATAGTAACAATTGTAATATTAATAATGTTGAAGATCATCAAATAATTGAAAGTAAACATATAAAAGATACAATTCTACAACAATATGACAACAATAAAAGAAATAATATTAAAACAATAAAAGAAATAACAACATCTAGTTCACAAGATAAAACAAACTGTAAATCAACAAATCAACAAAAAAGTTCAAAAGAAATTTTATTAAAAAATTTGATATTATCAATGGATACTAATTATCATCACCAAAATAATAACAATAATAATAAACATATTACTTATAACAATGATAATAATAATAATAGTCAATGTATATCACATATAAAAAGTGAACCATCTACACCAAATATTTTTATGCATAATGTAACATTTAATTCGTATTATTCTACTACATGTTCATCGCCTTGTTGTTCACCTAGTCCAATAACAGTAAATGATTATAACAGTTCACAAGATAAGACTACAATAACAACTGTTTTAACTATGAATAATAAACACATGAATTCAATTGATAAACAACAAAATAAATTAAACCAATTGGAGAATGGTGATAAAAAAGAGGTAATAATCATGCGAGAAAACATGACATCATCACAAATAATTGATAATCAGTTGAATAATCAATATGAATCTGATACGATCAAAATGAAACACGAATACAATCAGAATAATGCACCGAGAACAATTGAAAATATAATAAAACAACAAATAGAGAACTCGAATCACCAGCATCATCAAATAATATGTGATGAAAAGAGTTTAAATAATGAAATATGTTGTACTACTAATAATAATAATAATGACAATAATAATAATAGTGATAATAATAATGACGATATTTTATTGACACATTTACTAACTGAATCGAATGAAAACATACCATTGTACACTTGTTATTATCAACAATGTAATAACACTAACACTACTGAACAGTTTTACAATATTCCTAAAAAGCAGAACACTTGGTCAAATGGCAGTAGTAACAGTGATAGTCATGGACCAGTCACATGGCCAACTATACAGCATTTCACATCTCATCCTATTCTACACAGATAAATACACATACTTATATATTTAAAATTCAAAATGTAGGTAACAGTACACTCATCATTACTTTCATCATCATTTTTATATTACACACTTATTGTTACTATTATCATTATCAGCATATCATCATCTCCAGTAATGATATCAAAATTTAATTAATAACCAAGCAGTTAAAACCGCTCATTCACACACATATCCACACACATTACAGCTTTGTCTACACTTCTATCAACTTTTATTCTGTTTGATTTGTTTTTCTCCGCTGTTTTTTTTTCTTTTACACATACAGAAAGAAAACGAAAGACAAAAATTGGACCGTAAAAAAACACATGTTCTAATGAATAAAAGCGTTAAGATCATTACCATATTTTTTTACGTCTTCCAGATGAGATTTTTATTGCATAACTCATAAAAACTCTTATTCTGTTAGCAATTTTCTAAGCAAATTAGCTAGCCTAATAATTATCAGCATCGTAAGAATATTTTACACATATGACGGAGAGAAAGTGGAGAGATGTAATGTACGGTACAGTTAGAACAAACTATAACTGGTGCGGTAGAGTTAGAGATAGTTATCGCGGATTGATAACATACGTGAAATAACTAATACGGCACATTATCACAAAAAGATTGTCGAAAAAGATATTAATTTCGGAAAAATAAACATGAACCTGAGGAAATTTTAAAATTTAGTACTGCACAACAAAGGTCAACCAAACATGCTAAACAATTTACCTGATCATAATATGCTTGAACACGTTCACACCACAACTCCCAGTAATGTAACAAGTTAGTTTCGTTTAAAACAAACCGAGCAGCTGGATAACCATCACCATAAGAATACACTAGCATTCCTTTTTGACCTAAGTTAGATTCAAAATACATTGTCACCTATTTTGAAATAACAATGAATTAGATGCTAAGAAACGCGGTTAAAAATTATAAGCATATTTTTAGATGGATATATGGTGGGTGAGCTTCCCAGAAACATATAGAGCCAATAAAATAATCTTAAGTATACGGGAAGTTCCATCATTTTCATAACTGGATTGATTTAACTAAGTTTTAAGAGCTGCATGTAAATATCATGTAAGCTGTAAACCAATGTGCGGTTGTAGTACACTCAACACTAAGTAATTACAACCATTACATCACGAGATCAGACGTTGACTTATTTAACAACCAGATCTCTCCATTGTTTTGTAACAAACAACGAATTCGTCACTTATTTTGCTAACAATGCCTCCGTGTATGGTCTTAAACTATTTGCATTTCTAGATTGCGCAGATTAACAAGTCTTTATGTTCAAAGTCAAAAGTAGAGGTTACGTGCATCAAGTTAAGAATTAAGTTTTCCCTTAAACAATTATTTCGACTGTTAAGCAGTTCAGCCTTAAGCAGCTTAAGATAACTAGACGAACCCTTTGTTTTAATTTTACTCGTCAACACCTACAAGAAAGAAATGCCAGTCATAAAAACAGTTATGCCTTTACACAGTAAATTGAATAAAAATAGGAAAAGCAAGTAATCAGGAGTATGTAGATTAACGTGTTAGTGGAAATCTCAAAGTCTAGTGTTACATTTATTCTACATACAAAACAATACATATATATACCTTAAATGCTTACAACTAAGTAGTTTTGAGAAGAACAGAAAACAGAAAAAAACATCATATGACATGACACACTGAAGCGAAATTGAAATAAGTCCCACGTTGCGAATTCGTCATGAAACAAGACATTAGCGTAGATAATAAACTATTGAGACACATAACACTGTAATGCAAGTAAGATGATATTATAATTTGTAATTAACAAGTGTGAAACTAATAAGAATTAAATAATAACTGACACTTATCGTTCACAATACTAAGAACTCAGATAATTGGTGCAGAAAATAGGTGATGCTTTTGTTTTTAGACAGTGACACGAACTAAGTTCTTTGATATGTAACATACTTCAAAATGATGAGATAGTAACATTCGCACACGCTGAGTGTAAACTATGAACCCATACCATCCTCCCATGTGCATCTTGAAACGTGAATATTGGCAAAGTTGGTCAATTTACGCACGCTCATATAGAAGTGATCCACATATAGAATACGTGAGACCAGATTTGGAACAGAGTTTACTTTGTCAAGTCGTTTACCACCCGACCGAAGCTGCTACCTTGACGTGGTGGTCGGGCTTGCCTATCGTGATGACCCAACCGAGCTATATTGGCTGGAACATATGTTCCTGTAGGTTCTACCATGCCAGGCAGGTCGATTGGAGAACGGTAAGACTAAAAGCAGCAACTCAAGGTCTGAGGGCGAAGTCGTACTGCTGACTGTAGAGGGGTGTGACAGCAGTAAGGTGTTTCCCTCGGACAACCAGCATGACAGCGATGCTGCCTTCCCACAAGGAGGGGTGGGGTTAGAAAAGGTCGACCCTAAAAATGTCACACCTCACCTTACCTCACGGATTTCCGTCTCCGGCGGTAAGGCCCTTTGAAGAACGGAGCTAACACGTCAAAAACCTTCCACAAAAAGGCCGTGCGCGACCGGCCTCAAGCAGTTGTCCCTTGGGCTCTGCGGTCACGCTCCCAGGTCGTCAAGACCAACACTAATCCAATTTCCTTTTCAGGTTCCTCAAGAAATACCCTTCCACGGTGTGGGCAGCCGGGAAGTGACATCAGCCCTCATACCCGTAACAGCACAAGAGACCAAGGTGGTCACATTCAAATCCTTCCTACACCTCCTAATACCTCTCTTATCTCCATGACTAACCCTCCTCACGTCTCTTTATCACCTCGCACCGCTAGGGCAAACGATTCGAGTACGTGGAACGCCATTCCTGGTCTCCTGAAACCACGCTCTAAACTACACGTAGGAGCTTTTAACGTACGAACACTTTGCCAAATAGGACAGCAGGCTTCCTTAGCTAAAACTTTAGAATCTCGCGCCATCGATGTGTGCTGCGTCTCCGAAACGCGCATACAGGATCCGAGTAGCGTCATTCATTTGACCTCACCATGCCAAAATAAAGAACCGACTCGATTTACGCTTCGTGTATCTGGAAGCCCTGATTCTGCTTCCCGTGGCCTCGCCGGCGTAGGTATAGCATTGAGTCCTAGGGCAGAACTAGCTCTCTTAGAGTGGATCCCAGTAGACAGTCGTTTGTGCGCTGTCCGACTGAACGGAACAGTAAGAATCCGGAAAGATAGGGACACTCGTCGTTGCCTCTTCGTCGTCTCTGCCTATTCTCCCACTGACTGCAGCTCAGATGATGTAAAAGATGAGTTTTACAGAAAGCTTTCGGACCTTCTCCGAAAAGCTAGGCGCTCGGATGTAGTAATAGTGGCCGGTGACTTTAATGCTCAAGTAGGTAAACTAAGCGATAGGGAAAGACACCTAGGTGGATCTTATGGTGTCGTGGCTCAAAGAACAGATAATGGCGACCGTCTGTTGCAGCTATGCTCAGATAACCGCCTGTTCCTTGCAAATACTAACTTTAAGCATAAGGAAAAACATCTTTTAACATGGCGACCCCCTAATTCGTCCCAACGTTGGACCCAAATAGATCACATCGCTATCAGCCACCGATGGAGGGGCTCGATAGAAGACTGTCGCTCATTCTGGAGCACATGCCTAGATTCAGATCATGCTCTAGTGCGAGCGCGTATTTGCTTGCGTCTTACTGGACGTAGGAAAGACGCTGCAAGGAAACCTCTTAGGGCCTACTTAATGATAGTCAAGCTAAGAGTATATTTCAGGAACAACTAGGAAAACAGTTAGGCAGCCATGTATGTGATGCCCACCCCGATGCAGCATGGAATGATATCCGAAAAGCTGTGGAAACAGCAGTGATATCTGCTAGTAAGGTAAACCAGAAGGTTAGGGAGCAACACTGGATCTCAGCAGCATCTATCGCACTGATAGATGCTCGGAAACTCATTCCACCTGGCTCTGAACATAATGAAGAGCGGAGTCAGCTTAAGCGCAAGCTGACAAGAAGTCTACGCAATGATCGCGAACAGTGGTGGGTAGCGAAAGCAAGAGAGATGGAAAAGGCAGCGGCAATAGGTAATAGCAGACAATTGTTCAGACTCGTTAAGGAAACCGGAATTAGGAACCCGACCGTTAGCGAAACAATCTCAGAGAAAGATGGACATATTATTCATTCTCAATCCAGGAGATTGGATCGATGGGCAGAACACTTTAGGGATCAGTTCAACTGGCCTTCAGCCACACTTCGGTTTCCCACGATCTCTAGTCAACCTGAATGGCAAGTTAATGTAGGTCCTCCGTCCCTTTACGAAGTTGAAAAAGCCATAGGAAATCTGAAACGAGGGAGAGCAGCAGGCCCTGACAGGTTTACTCCTGAGATTTTTAAGGATGGTGGTCCAGTATTAGCAATGAGATTAACTGAGGTCTTAGGTAGAATTTGGGAACTGGACGTAATCCCATCTGACTGGTCTCAATCACTGATTGTGCCAGTCTATAAGAAAGGACAAAAGTCCTCTTGTGACAATCACAGAGGAATCAGTTTGACTAATATAGTGTCTAAAATATTAGCTTCAATAATACTTCGACGCCTAACAAAGCTCGTGAAGAGCAGACTAGAGAAAACCAGGCTGGTTTTCGACCTGGACGTGGTTGTATAGATCAGATATTCACACTACGTCAGGTTCTAGAACACAGACACACATTCAGACGCCCCACAATGGTAGTATTTCTCGACCTTAAGGCGGCATTCGACTCTGTTGATCGTGAGGTTCTATGGCAGTGTTTGTCACTGAAAGGAGTACCAAAGAAGTACATTAACCTTATAAAGGCTCTCTACTCGAACACAACTGGTCGAGTGAGAGCTTATGGCGAACTGTCATCAGAATTGATTACCTCAAGTGGTGTTCGTCAGGGCTGTCCACTCTCCCCATTCTTGTTCAACTTTGTGGTCGACGTACTTTTAGAGATAACACTCTCCTCATCTAAATTTCCAGGGGTTGAACTTCTACCGGGAGGTTCACTTGTTGACTTAGAATATGCTGATGACATAGTTTTATTTGGTGAAGACGCTGACAAAATGCAGAGTCTTCTGACCACTCTAAGCAACAATGCAAGCATGTTCGGGATGCGATTCTCCCCCTCGAAATGCAAAATGTTGCTTCAGGATTGGGTTACATCGACACCCGAACTAGTGATAGGGAGTGAAGTAGTTGAGTGTGTCGACCGCTTCACTTATCTTGGAAGTCTCATCAGCCCTTGTGGTTTGGTGTGTGACGAAATCTCAGCACGGATACAGAAGGCTCGACTAGCTTTTGCCAACTTGCGTCATTTATGGCGTAGGCGAGATATCCGTCTATCAACCAAAGGACGGGTTTACTGCGCAGCAGTTCGTTCCGTCCTACTTTATGGCAGTGAAACATGGCCGGTAAGAGTAGAGGATATTCGTAGGTTACTAGTATTTGATCATAGGTGTCTTCGAAACATTGCTCGTATATCATGGGACCATCGAGTAAGTAACACAGTTGTTAGGAAACGGGTACTAGGTAAGGATGGCAAATCAATTGATGAAGTAGTGAAACTTCATCAGTTGAGATGGCTGGGACACGTGTTACGTATGCCCAACGACCGACTGCCTCGACGTGCTATGTTCAGTGGTATAGGAGTAGGTTGGAAGAAAGCTAGGGGCGGCCAAACCAAAACATGGCACAAGTCCATGAAGTCACTGACAAGTGGACTGAGTCATGTTGGTAGGTGTAGACTACCTGGTTGGGGACCGCGAGATGATAGCAACCGATGGTTAGAGACCCTGAATGACATGGCTCAAAATCGTTTGCAATGGCGCAGGTGCATCCACTCTTTGTGTTCTCCCAAATTCTAATCTTCTGAATTCTTCATGTCCCTTTTTTTCCTCTTTCCAAATTTATTTCACTGGATTATACTCTTTAAATAACATCTCCAAACCCTAATTTTCCCGATTACTGCTTATACTCTTACTACCTCTACCACTACGGGATTTGAATCGACCACTGCATCTCTGTGCTAATGTGGTGTGGCAACTCGAACTGATGTACGTACGTACGAAGTTCTACGTTGGTACTGACTGACTGACTGAGTGAGTCGTTTACCATTAACTTGAGCCGTGTAGAAAGGCACACACGTTTACGTAATGACCCACAAATTAATCGTAACAAACGGTTGGATTTAATTATTAGTTGACTTCCTAATTCATGAATATTGTATCACTGCATACTTTTCATTCCTCAAATTTCACAGACCTTATTTCTCTCCTATAGTTTTCCACTACGACTGAGACTTTTATTTCTTGCTTTGCCTTTTGTTTATTTTTTCACTCCGTTTAAGTGAAGCGTGACAACTTGGATTGACGCATTCATTTAGATCTGTTCGTTTACAAAATACGTAATTACTACGAAAATTCAACAGCTCTCTAAATAAAAGGGAATTTGAATAAAACCAAAACCTTTTATGTTATTTACAGCCAGCAGTGTGCTTTCAGGAGCAAAAATTCTAGAAAATGTAAACTTACAGGCAAAGATTCAGGATAACGAGTAAAGTTATAAGCTCCAATATACGCGGCAACTTGTAATGGACTATCATAAGCCTGCTCAATAGTCAATATTCTTTTGGATTCGTGTACTGTTTTCCATTCAGTCAAAATAGGTTCGTTTATATCTCTAAGTTTCGGTCAAGAAATAATGCTTTGTTGGATAAATGAAACAAACAAACTGATAGTTGAATAAAATGACTTATACTCGGTTGCCTACCCTTTTTCTTAAATCGAAATGCACAACAAATATTTAATTCAAACGTCAATCAGAAAACAAATGTACATGGTTAAATACTGACTTTCGAGTTAACTTGTGCGAGGTCAAATGAAATTGAAGTATATAGAACAGATGGATTTACAGTTAAAAGTCAAGTGTTTTACTCACCAAACCGCAATTTCACTAAGATATTTAATAGCTGCGTAGTCTCAAAAGAGATACCATTTGAAATGCTGGCACTGCATTCCATAGGTTAATAGCACCATCACAGAATTACTAAATTAATATGTTGAATCAGTTACAACTACGGACATTCTCATTGAAAAATACAAAAACTGATCACGGAAGAGTGAGTAGATGCCGTAATATTTATGAGCTCTAAGATATATATATATATATATATATATATATATATATATATATATATATGATTGGTTGAAAATCAAATCTAAACAGTTCTTTATAGTAAGACATATGCTAAAGAACTTCAGATGAGAACAAATGACCAATAAATAAGAAACTTGAATCTAAGGTACTTTGAATAAATTGTTTTAAGCTACGGAATCCTTCACAAACAAATATATTTTGTGAGAAAATTTGTCAATAAAAGAGATACACGGAATACTAATAAACTTTGGTAAACATACGGACTTTGTATTCAACAAAAAAACGTTAACGAGTTTGTTAAACCCAAACCTACTTTGAAAACACTATACTATCAAACCTCCCGCGATACAAAAGCTGAGGATGGAAGCAGTTAGTTTCTACTGCAGAAGACTTTAAATCATCCAAGATATATTTTAGACTTTCACAATATTTGGAAACATTTTCAGGTAGATTAGAAGGAAACTTGCCCTTTATAAGTCGCGCTTCTACACTGGAATGAACACTTTTCCTAAAAGCTGAAGTTCTATTTAACAAAAACATCTGTCTAGTGGTATTTACCTCTCATGTACTCCTGAAACCCATCTTCGCCAAGTTCATTTTTCTTTTTATCCTGCCACTTTCGGAGTGCAATTGTACTTTCCAAGGGTGCTGTTTTACTTAGTATAGCGGACACTGTTGGGACATTACGAAAATCTGGCTGATTTCCGTCAGTATGTTTACATGTGTTCCATGAATCAAGATAGAAACTTTGTAAGGCTTGTTAGAAATAACAGCGAAGCCACGTCTAAAGATCTTAATGAAGCTACAACCCAATAATTAATTATAGTCCTAACTCACTATATTTGAACTCCCCCAATATTCATTCTGCTATAAAATTAGTCGATTCAGATATCTGGTAAATTGAGCTAATTAACAAATCTTCAGATGTAAGCAAATATGTACAAATACCTAAAATATGAAAAGAATGATATCAGAATATTGAGAACCCGTAACATCAAATGTTGGAGATTTCGAGCGCTGCTTTCTTATCTTAACAAGCATATTATTCACTCCACCGAACCGCATTTCACGGATCATTTATAGAGATTGTTAACTATGTAAATAAAGCTAAGTAAATAACGGAACCAGAAACAGTATGATCGTTTGCCTCTTCCTACAACCTGAAATGGTGTCAAGACATATAAAGTGATGATCTAACTAAATGCCTACTAACAGTTTTCTACGACGATAGAAATAATCGTTAATCATATCAGTCACTTATTAATCGAGTGAATTTATGCAGCTTTGATCTAAACAGTTACTCACATTTAAAACCAGGGTAGGGATTCCAATTCCTTGTTGAGACAATTACGCGCACCTTCAGAGAAAATTAGTGAGTATACTCATCATCATGAAGCTCCAACTAATGAAAAAAAATGTACGTGACACCAACTTTTGCTTCGAATATCGGGTGTTCTATTGACTTCTAGGTAAGTCATATTTTCGTACGCTTTAACTGATGTGACCAGTTCTTTACACTGTTCATCACATGTGTACTAATGAATGAAAATGAGTGTCTAAATAAAGCAAACACTGTAACCTTTTATTTGAAAAGTAAATTTCAAAACTCTTGTCCCTTAATACTGTCCTTATCTCATTATGACAAACTGTATTTACATGGTATGGTTGTTTGAACTGATGAACATATATGTTAAGTTCTACCTTTCTTATGACTTACCGGCTTTATAAACCAGGTAATAAACACTACAAATTTTCAGGGGGATTTCATTCCCCTTTAAAACAAAAGGTTGGGGCTTTTAGTTTCCCACCCTTAGATGTTTCGGTGTTGTATAAAAAGTAGTGAACACATTTTGGCATATCCTAATACGTATCCTTAACAATCCCTACTTGAGAATATGACTATTCAGTCTTCTGAATCTAAACATCTTGATTCGTTAGAGAAATTAGGTTACGCGACAACGATAAATCTTTACATAAAGCACATATTCTTCGGTATTAGCATGAGTTACTCCAGTTCATTTAGAACAAGTTACAGGAATGAGTTCATATTATTAGAATAGTCACGCCATTATGCTATTTCTATTTATTGTCAGTCAGTAACAACGTAGAACTTCGTAAGTACGTGCATCAGTTCGAGTTGCCACACCACATTAGCACAGAGATGCAGTTGCCCACTGAGGAACTCCTGGAAAGTTTGTTGAGCCAATTCAAACCGAATTTAGCTTACACTGACTACTAGTAATATATATATATATATATATATATATATATATGTTTTCAGTCCGACCTGCTACGCAACACTTCAGATTGCCAGTACTCCCTTCAGACTTTTTATTAGGAGAGAAACGAAGTAATCGACTCAGATGGTTCTCAATGATGTACAGAATGTTGTAGGTCAAAATAAGCCTTCCTCTGAGTACCTTATATTCTACGGAATAAAGATACAAAGTTTTAAGGAATTCCTGGCAGGGTTTTAGTTTGAGTTCGTGAACTGATTCCATGTTTCATCTTAGAAGTATTTATATCCCTTTGGGGTGCATGAACTTACGTTCCTATTCTATAGGTCGCGTTAAGCGAAACCTAAAAACTGAATGGAAAGTACTATTATCAAGCTAATCAAAATCGCTGTTCAAAGTAATTGGTTACATCTAAAGGATTTTTGTAACAGATAGAATATGATTCTATATCGCAAAAAAATGAAGACGTCTATATCTTTTTCAACAAACGAAACTTCTAGTGGGGAGCTATTTAGGTTATACACGAAGTTCGAATCATGCCACAGATGTGCTTTTCACTTTACAGAATTAAAGAAAGTCCATGGTCATTTACCCACCTTAGAGGTAAAGTCAGACACTCCTGAAGCGCTAGTTTATCCTTTTAGTCGTTAACTTCTCTTCAAAGATTCACATTAGGAAAAAGCAACACTCCAGAGGATACCTAGACGAATATCTTCGTTCTTGGGGAATCCTTAGTACAGAAAGATGGATAGTTCACTGTGACGTTGGATAGCATATTAGTTGGCCATGACTAAAACCAGTCAAGCATTTTGATAGGTATCTACACGAGACAACTGATAAGACAAGTATGATTGACCCGGCCTAGAGGCTTCCAGAAGTCGAGAAACAGTACATCAGTAACGAAGTTGTATTACATTAATAGTGAGTATTTTGTTTCTAGATCAAGCAAAGAAGTGAGTTAGGTTGAGAAACAGAGTTAGCGTCTCGATTACGAACTGACATTAGCTACGACGCAAGCTTGCATCCTAGGATCCTAAAGTCCATATCTCAAGTCCTAGTATGTTACGCAGTTCATATATCTTCGCTTTCTCTAGATTCACAAAACAGATTAAGATCTTAGGGCGTCCTACTAAAGCTGTACAATGTAGAAGGTAAGGTAATTACCTTACCCTTACGATCGAGGATATAGATCCGGTTATCTCTAGAGGTTAGTAGATTCGTGATGCAGTGAAGTTCAAAATTCATAACAATACTTTTTTTTAAATTCCGTACTAAAACCTTGATATTACAATCATGAACAAGATTATTTTAAAACCACGTGATTGCCTGGACACAGTAAACCACACATCCAAGGGACGATTGCTGAGACCTTGAAGTCAAATGTTTGGCGTGACTACTAACAAATACTAACAAGTATTCCTAATAATTTATGTAACCACAAATCTAGGACCATATCCTTTCTTAATTTGCGATGAATTTTGTTCAATCATTGTTCTTTATGTGTACCAACTGTGAATAGACATTATTAACGAGCATATAGGGTCAGTGAAATGTCACTAAGTCCATCAGATACACACACTACTGTCGATTTTAAAGTAAATTTCATTCAAGTCATTCACTTTTCCGATTTATTGGCCATGGCTTTTGATTCAAGATGACAATATTCTTATATCATTTTGGGCAGCTGTACACTACATTGGACTCTTGGCCTGAATTATCATACAGTAATGCTATCGGATTTATACTTCACATAATCAGTGTTGACTGTGAAGATGAACATTTGCTGATCGAGAAAGCTCCATTTGCGGTGGCTATGTCAAGAGGAACTTTCAAGTAACATTTACATAACGGTTATTGTTGAAGATGGCACATGTATTCAGTGTTTGACAACGCTTCAACCAGTAACACCTTCTAATATGAAGCGTACACACCAAGAGAAATCAAAAGACAGAATCAAAGAGATCAGAAGTTGTATCTGACGATTTTCAATATATCGGAATTGTCTGATCTAGTCTAGCTAGCGATTGCAGCAGATGTTGAGCACGGCGTTCCCACTTGTGATCTGGTGCGGATGCATGACCGAGTTCCTTCAGCTAGGTGAGTCTCTAGTGGCATTGGACAATAACCGCACAATTCACAAAGCTGTTAACACGAGACTACTCAGAAAATAGATATCCAATATTTAACGCGGATAAATACCTAACGATGGAGAAGGCGCGAACAATGAGTTGAATGTACTGGAGTTGATCGAGTGGCATGGCTCGGCCATGCAGGCGTGGTCTCTGCTGAATGTTACCTTATATCTTCTATTCACATGAAATATATTGTTCTTTCTCTAGCCTAACCTTGTTCTACATCATATATTGGTAATTGATACGATACAGTGAGTTGGTGTAGTCAATGTTGTGACTTCCACGTAAGATCTTATAGATTAGGCAGTTATATCATGACAAATCTACAAAATTTGGGATTAGGACTATTATTAGAGCAGTACTAATATCACAGTAGACCATAGTTCTCCAAGTCCACTAAAACTAATGTGGTCATCCATCCAATGTCAAAAACGTAAACAGCTATTTATTTTGGGGATTTATTTATCGCTACAGATCACTTCCTAATAATGAAGTAGTGGTGACCCTAATACGTGTTAAGCCAGACGTTTAAACTTAACGACTTTGTAGTTGTCAGTATGGGGGTTGTGGAGATTGTTAAGTTTTTGGTTGAGATCATGAATCAATTGATGTTAGACCACCGTTGGAAACCTGGAAGCACTGGACGGCCGTTTCGTCCTAGTATGGGACTCCTCAGCAGTGCGCATCCACGATCCCGCACCCCGCGGGATTCGAACCCAGGACCTACTGGCTTCGCGCCTGAGCACTTAACCATTAGACCACTGAGCCGGCATCCAATGGTGTTAGTGTCTAACATCAACCAAGTCACGAAATTGCGCGACCAACTTCTATTGTACTGAGGCAGATACCTGTCTCTACCCGACACGGATTAGCTCCAACGTCACGCAATTGGTCGCGCAATTTCGTGAATTGGTTGATGTTAGACACTAACACCATTGGATGCCGGCTCAGTGGTCTAATGGTTAAGTGCTCAGGCGCGAAGCCAGTAGGTCCTGTGTTCGAATCCCGCGGGGTGCGGGATCGTGGATGCGCACTGCTGAGGAGTCCCATACTAGGACGAAACGGCCGTCCAGTGCTTCCAGGTTTCCAACGGTGGTCTAACATCAATTCATTCATGATCTCAACCAAAAACTTAACAATCTCCACAACCCCCATACTGATAATTAACATGTGCTCACTAGTGACTAGCTTCGTGA